AAAAATAATTCATTTATTCCCTTGGGAATAAATTCCTATCATTCCAATAGGTCAGGATTTCTAAAATAATTCTGCTATTTGACTTTATGAACCTCTCTTGTGAGGTAATGTATCTGAAAAATAATTCATTTATTCCCTTGGGAATAAATTCCTATTACTCCAATGAGTCAGGATCCCTAAAATAATTCTGCTATTTGACTTTATGAACCTCTCTTGTGAGGTAATGTATCTGAAAATTAATTCATTTACTTGCTTGGGAATAAATTCCCATCATTGCAATGGGTCAAGATCCCTAAAATAATTCTGCTATTTGACTTTATGGACCTCTCTTGTGAGGTGATGTATCTGAAAAATAATTCATTTATTCCCTTGGGAATAAATTAATTCTCTTGGGAATTTCCATTTATTCCCTTGGGAATAAATTCTTACCATTCCAATGGGTCAGGATCCCTAAAATAATTCTGCTATTTAACTTTCTGGCCCTCTCTTGTAAGAGGAATTTATCTGAAATTATAGCTCAGGATTTTCCAATGCTTCTGGGAGAAAGGATGGGAAATTCATCCCCTTAGAGGGAAATTTTTCAGGAATATTGGAATTGCCACCCCTTCTGCAGCGCTCACTCACCTTTGCCTTTACATTCACTGATGATTTCCTTCGTCACTTGGTAGCTCCTGCTGATGTAGGAGTCGTAAGACTCAGAAACCACCAACTTGCTGACAGGAATATGAGGTCTGAGGGGAGAAAAACACAGCCAGGGAATAAAAATAAAGAATTCTAACTAACTGCAAGGTCTGTGCGACCTCCATGATCAGGAGGAATCGCCAGTGACATGGGAAATTTGGTTGATAATAAGCCAAAATTTATTTTATACATATTTTTATATAGAATTATATTTGTATAATTTATATGTCAATATCTAGAATTATATATATGATATATTTTTATGTATTTCATATGCAGTGTATATATATTCTATATAATCATATGTTTATATAATTTCTATATCAATATCCTATATTTATCTATATATTTAATATANGATTAAAGATTATTTTAATTCTTTCTCTGAGCTTTCTCAAAGCTCTCTCAGAAAAATGCCTGGGAAAATTTATCTGACCCTCCCTCTGAAAATTTCTTTCTCTCTGAAAGTTTATCTGACTTTCTCTCTGACCAGGCTGCCAGCATCCACAGGAGGTCTCTAATAATGAAAACTATCAGAGATGTGACAATCCTTATTGCAGCTCTGGACATGCAGGATGTCCTGCCAAAAAAAAGAGATTTTTTCCAGGTAGGAAATCCAGAAGGCTTTAATGAGCAGCTGAGGATCTTTCCAAAACAAGCAGGTTCAAAAGCATGATTTTCACTCTCCCTCCATTGTTCTCTCTGCTGCACTGAATTACAAACCCATGGAATTTGCAGGCTTGTGCAAGCTGATTAAATCTTTTCCCTGGACATTGGTTGGATTATCAGTTTAGCCACTGAGGGTGAGGTATTCCCAAAATGTGGAAATGTAATAATGATTCAAACTGATCCTGCAGAAAAAAAGAATCTGCATCAGGGGATCATTCCAGGTGAAAAGATGTGAAATATTTGGGCTCTTCCAGTCGATGTGGAAATCACAGGATACATTGTTTGCACGTAATTTATTCATGCTTATTCAACCAAAAATTGCAATTAGATTTGACTGATTATTCAGTCACAATTGCAGCTATTCAGAGGCTTGGCTCCAAGCGCCAGCCAGGGCAGCTTTGCAAGCTCATCCATCTTTTTTGTTGTTGTTGTTTTTCATCAGCAATAAAAAATATGTTCAAAAAACAAACCCAGGGACTTTAATGTGATAACCCCACCAAGCTGTGGCTGCAATGCACCAATTGCCTTCCCCTAAAAGCCCCAATTTGGCCTGAATTGGAGCAGTCTTGGGGCAGAAGATTGTTGGAAGCCACCAATGCTTTTTTATTCTGGGTCAGGGGGTTTTTTTTGGATAAAAATCTCATTTTTGGCTGTGCTGGAAGGAAACACTGATCCCACTCTCACTGGCTGCAGTGTCCTTGGACCCACTCAATGTCTGCCTTCCAAAATCTTCTTTTTAAAGATAAAATTCCTTTTCTAAAGGGAAGGGATGTTCTAGATCAGGTGAAAGCAACACATTCCAGAGGTTCTGGACCCTTCCGGCTCCCTGTTCTGGAGCAGGGACAGACCCACAGCATCCCTGCAGAGCTCTGAGTGCCTGCCCAGCATGGGAACAGCCCAGGAATGCAGAATTTGCTGCATTTTGGTGCATTTAAACTCCAGGATAAACCTGGGATTAAATGGGGAAGGACTAATCCAGTTGTGAATTTAAACTCCAAGATAAATTTGGGATTAAATGGGGAAGGACTAATCCACTTGTGAATTTAAACTCCAAGATAAATCTGGGATTAAATGGGGAAGGACTAAACCAGTTGTGCATTAAACTCCAGGATAAACCTGGGATTAAATGGGGAAGGACTAATCCAGTTATGAATTTAAACTCCAAGATAAATTTGGGATTAAATGGGGAAGGACTAAACCAGTTGTGCATTTAAACTTCAGGATAAACCTGGGATTAAATTGGGGAGGAATAAACCAGTTGTGAATTTAAACTCCAGGATAAACCTGGGATTAAATGGGGAAGGACTAATCCACTTGTGAATTTAAAGTCCAGGATAAATTTGGGATTAAATGGGGAAGGACTAAACCAGTGGTGTTTTCCCAGGAAAAGCCTGGGATTGAATGGGGAAGGACCAATCCAGTTGTGTGTTAAATTCCAGAATAAACCCCGGATTAAATGGGGAAGGACTAATCCAGTTGTGAATTTAAACTCCAAGATAAATTTGGGATTAAATGGGGAAGGACTAAACCAGTTGTGCATTTAAAGTCCAGGATAAATTTGGGATTAAATGGAGCAGGACTAAACCAGGCCAAGCAGTGATGGAGGGTGGGAGGATTGTCCAGTGGGATGTCCCAGTGCTGCCAGGGTGTTGTGATTTCCCATTTTGGAGGTGACTGGAGGATATTCAGAGGTTGTTCAGCAGTGGAGAGGATGAGGTTCTGGTTATTCCCCCTCCAGAAGCAGGAGAGGATCATGGAGCTCTGAGCTCTGAGGTTGGAAAGAGCAACCAACCAACCAACCAACCAACCTGGGGTCTTCTCCCAGAGCCCTCCTCACACCTCAGAAATGCAGAGAAAAAACAACCACGGCCTTGAAATGGCCGAGGAAAGTTTTGTGGTGGTGGTGGCTGGAGGCGGCGAGAGGGGCAGGAAACAGCTCAGAGCAGCTGTGAAAGGGTAAAGAACCACCAAATGTCAGCTTCCCCTCCAAAACAGCGCTGCAAACTCAGGGTGAGACATCTCCCAGGTGAAAAGGCAAAGCTCTCGCTGGGGTGTTCGAGTTTTCACTTAAAAATCGGGGATTTGCTTTTGAGCTTTGCTTCTTGGTGGCAGCAGAGCTTTGGGGCTCTGAAAAGGCCAAAATATGAGCTTTGGAAGCTGCTTTGCTTCTTCATGACACCAAAGGTTTGGTTTTTCTGACACTGCCCAAAATGTGCTCCTTCACAGAATCAAAGTTTTGGTTTTCTAGTGCCTTTCACGCTTCAAAGTTTTGGTTTTCTGACAATACCCAAACTGGGCTCTCATGGCATCAAAGTTTTAGTTTTCTATCAATGCCCAAGCTGAGCTCTTTTGGCATCCAAACTTTGGTTTTCTGACAATGCCCAGCGTGAGATACTTCATGACACCAAAATTTTGGTTTTCTGACAATGCCCAGGCTGAGCTCTTTTGGCATCCAAGCTTTGGCAATTCTGACAATGCCCAAACTGGGCTCTCATGGCATCAAAATTTTGGTTTTCTATCAATGCCCAAACTGGGCTCCTCCATGGCTTCAAAGTTTTGGTTCTCTATCAATGCCCAAACTGGTCTACTTCATGGTTTCAAAGTTTTGATTTTCTATCAGTGCCCAAGCTGAGCTCTTTTGGCATCCAAACTTTCGTTTTCTGACAAGGCCCAGGCTGGGCTCTCACGACATCTAAACATTATTTTCACTGACAATTCCCAAACTGGGCTGTCATGGCATCAAACTTTTGGTTTTCTATCAATGCCCAAACTGGGCTCTTTCAAGACCCCAAACTTTGTTTTTCTGACAGTGCCCAGGTTGTGCTCTCACGGCACCCAAGCTTTGTTTGTTCTGCTGCCAGAGCAGTCCCTCACCTGCTTTGGAAGCCGCCTCTGCAGCGAAGTCTGCAGCGAACTTCTTGAGCACCTCAGCGCTGTCCTCCTTGACGAAGAGCCCGATGAAGTTGGAGGACGTGTAAAGCTCCAGGGGCAGGGGCGCGGGGAATTTGCATTTCCAGCGCATCACCGTGGCCTGCAGGGCTTCCGTGAGGGCGTCCACCTTGCTGTCCTCACACTGCCAAGGAAGCAGCACAGGAGGGCATGAGGGTGGGTGGCAGTGGCCTAGCTTTCCCCCCGTGCAGTGAGAAAAAGCACAGAGGCACGGAAAACAAAAATAAAACAACAACAAAAGAGAAATCTATGTTTAGAAATCCTCGGCCCCTCCCTTGTCCTCAAAGCAGGATCAGCTATCCCCAAGTAACCTCCTCAAGCTCTCCCCACCCATTCTCACACTGAGGATCACTGCAGAGGATGAGAATTCTGTCTTCTGCTGCTGCTCGTCCCTGAAAACAACAGCTTAAAAAACCAATTCCCTCCTCCAGCAGCCCAGGCATCTACAAAACCCCCCCAGCACCCCCTAAACCAGGATGAAATCTCCAGGCCGAGCCTGGCAAGGAATGGCTGAGGGAGAGAGGGGAGAGGGGCTGTGCCTTACCATGAAGAACTGGCAGAGGGTGATGTGGGGGAAGATGTTGTGGGCCTTGTTCTTGCCACAGATCTGCTTGGACTGCTGCCAGAACTCGGAGAGCTTCTGCGCCAGGGGCCCGGTGGGGCGCAGGTACAGCACGTACTCGCGGGGCAGCGAGTCGTCCAGGAACGGGTCACCCACATGGGAGAAGAGCCTGGCGGGCAGAAAGAGCTCCTGAATCAATAAATAATCATTGGAACCCAGGAAATTCCTCTGGCTGCCCTGGAGGGCTTGAGGCCCTGCCCAGGGGGCTCAGAGTCCTCAGCACAGGGCCCAAAACCACTGTGCCTTTGGTTTTTACCCACGGAAAAAATTACCAGCCTTTATATGAAGAATTACAAGTCAAGAGAGTTTAGGTGGAATAATAGTTAGTTTGTCACGGGGTGAAAAATAGATTTTTCTGTCTGGGTTGTTTCTGCGCTCTAAAAGGGAGATGTGACTCTGCAGAGCTGTCCCCTGAGGTGTGGCAGTGAGTCCTGCCCTCCCAGAGACGCTCTGGCTCTGCAATGAGCAATTTCTGGGATTTCCTCTGCCCAGATCCCAGCCCAGAGCTCTGGAGGATCTCTCCAGATTCCATCACCACCCTCAGGGACTCTTTTCCTTCATGGCCTGACCAAGATGAAGGAATTTGGGCGTGCCTTGTCCTTCTTCCTTCTTCTTCTTGGACTCCATCTTCTGCCGTGCTGGTGGCACTTTTGAATTGGTTTAGAATAGAATCTCTGTCTAACACAGGTGATGGGTATTGGGAAGTAATTGTAAATATTGAACACGTAGTTTTTAGTATGAAAGACAACACCAGTGTGCCTCAACCTGACCTGCCAGCCAGACCTTGGTGGGTCCGAGAAAGAATTTTATAGATAATAAACAATAAACAACCTTGAGAATGAGAATTGAAAAATCCTGACTCCTCCTTCGACTGTTGGGCTGGGGAAAAGAAGCTTGTAGGTATCTCAGAGTCACTGTGACCAGCAGAGATTCTGAGAGATAATCACACATTTTCTTCCCCCAACCAAACCAGCTCCCCCTGTGCTGCCACTCACTGTCCCTCCATGGGAAAATGCAGCTCTGGCGGGTCAGGCAGAGCCTCTCTGCCTCACTTGCAGCCCATTAGCACTGCTCAGTAATACAGAAAATTGGGTTTTACTTTCAGCCTGATGCTCTGAAGATCTAAGCCAGGTCACTGCTTCTGCCTTTTGTGCCTTTCAGAGCGCAAAGCACAGGGAGGAGAGCACAGGAATCAGCTGCAGAGGGTGGGGGATCCTTCTCTCCCCTATTCCCTTCCCACCTGTTTGGGAATTTATTCCCCCCAGTGCCTCCTGTTAAGGGCACCAAAGGGATTTAACAGAGCCCACTCTCCCTGCAGGGCCCTGCCTAATGATGGTCCCTCTGAACAAAGCTCTTATTCCCACATATTCAAGGACTTTGGCCAAAACCCTGGGGACTAAAATGTGACAGGCAATTACAGAAACTGCCTCGACCCTCTGCTGACTCAGTCACCTCTGCTTAGTCATTAAAAAAACAAAAAACCCAACATTATTATAACCCATTTGCTGCAGATCAAACCCTCTCAGACCAGGCTCATTTCCAGCACTTAAACAGCACCTCAGTAACACATAAAAAGGATGTTTTTATTTGCAGGTGCTTTTCACACAACACTCCGGTTTAAACATCCCACATTCTAATGGTTAAAGCCCAAATTCACCATTTCTGCTACTTTTGAACATTTATTACTTCATACCAACCAGTCGCATGCTGCTTGAACGCTCCTTCCTCCTGTCGATGCCAGCGCTTTTTGTCTGCAGAGAGAGCAAAATAAAAAGAGAATTTCAGTGCTGCTGAGTCCATTACTGTGTGTTTGGACATTTGTGAGATGCTCTTTCCAATTCTCCAACCCCTGAGGCGTTTTTATTGGTTTTTTTGGATGTGCCACCTGTGAAATCCCAATGAACTGAAGGGCAAAGTCAGGCAACCAGCACAAAATACGAATTATGCACCTCTGGGTTTTCCTACTTCCCCACTTTTTCTTCCATGCACAGAAGCATGGAGGAATTGGGATTTCTTTTAAGGGACTATGTTTTATTTATATAAATATAAATCTACATATAAATCTAAATATAAATCTATAATAAATCTATCTGCATTGCAATAATATGCCATTCTGGGGACATGCAATGCCTGCCCCACAAGCTCACTCACAAAAATGAAGCTCAGACAGAATTCTGTGCAGAACAATGCAGCCCTTCACTGACAACTGCAAATCAAATTAGAAATGGTCCTAAAAATTAGCAATTAGTAGAGAAACACCAGCATTTAATGGTGTCTTTGCTGGCAATTTCAGCATGAAACCCTAAAAGTTTGGGTTTGAAAGTGCAGGAGTTGCAGTGAGGGGAAGAAAAATTCAACAGCCACGAGAGGGCACACACAGAGATTTTTCCATCTTAGAAAAGTTCCCTTTAGTCCAAAAAGCTCTTCTGCTTCTTTCCCTTCAGGATGCCTCTAAATCCCTTTTCCCTCCAGCTGGGAGCACCCAGCTCTCCTGTTCTGTGAGTTTTCTGAGCAGACCAGCCCAAATCACAGATTTTAACACGGAATTGTGTTTTCCACGTGCTCGACACCAGCAGGGAAAGGAGCTGTGGCACCTGGGACAGCCAAAGGAGAGGGATCCACCCAGAACCCAAATGGAGCAAGAATTATGAGTGAAAAATGCAGAAAACGACAGAAATTTCAGGGTTATGAGGCAGAGACAGGAGCTCAGCTGGGGAGGGTGCAGAATTCCCCATTTCCCCAAGGGAAAGGGAGCAGATCCAAGCTCCAGGCTGTGGGTTTGGGGTCAGGGAGCCTCCAGGACTTGTGGCTGTGCTTTGTCACCCCTTCTGTCACTTGTGGCTGNAATAAATAAAAATTATATAATATAATAGTATACCAATATAATAATATATAATAATATAGTAATTAATTCAATAATAAAATTAATAAAAATTATCACTCCCCATGGACTTAGGTCCATGTTTTTTCCCTGTTTGTCAGATTTTTTGCAGCACATGAGGACAGCCCAGCCTGTCCCCGTGGCCCTTACCTTTCAGGATGTTGTGGGCTGTCTGCACGCAGCGCAGCGAGGGCGAGCTGTAGATGTAATCTACAATGGTGTTGGTTTCTAGCAAGGCTTCACCTGCAAGACAGTGTCCCCTCAGAGCCTCAGATGCCACCAGCAAAGTGTCCTTGGAGCTGTTAATGCCACCCAAAGTGTGTCCTTGTCCCCTGAATGCCACCAGCAAAGTGTCCTTTGACCCATTCATTGCCACCAGGAAGGTGTGCCCTCAAATCCCTTTAATTCTCCACAAAATGTGTCTCTGGACCCCTTTACTGCCACCAGCAAAGTGTGTCCTCAGACCCTGTTAATGCCACCAGAAAAGTGTCCTTGGATGCCTTCAATGTCACAAATTGTGTGTCCTTGGACCCCATTAGCAAAGTGTGTCCTTGAACCCTTTTAATGCCATCAGCACTGTGTCCTCAGACCCCATTAATGCCACCAGCAAAGCGTCCTTGGAGCTGTTAATGCCACCCAAAGTGTGTCCTTGTGCCCTGAATGTCACCAGTTGAGTGTCCTTTGACCCATTCATTGCCACCAGGAAAGTGTGCCCCCAAATCCCTGTAATTCTCCACAAAATGTGTCCTTGGACACCTTTACTGCCACCAGCAAATTGTGTCCTCAAACCCTTTTAATGCCACCAATAAAGTGTCCTCAGACCCTGTTAATGCCACCAGAGAAGTGTCCTTGGATGCCTTTAATGTCACAAATTGTGTGTCCTTGGACCCCATTAGCAAAGTGTGTCCTTGAACCTTTTTAATGCCATCAGCACTGTGTCCTCAGACCCCTTTACTGCCACCAGCAGTGTGTCCTCAAACTCTTTTAATGCCACCAACAAAGTGTCCTCAGACCTCATTAATGCCACCAGCAAAGTGTCCTTGGAGCTCTTCAATGCTACTCAAAGTGTGTCCCTGTCCCCTGAATGCCACCAGTTGAGTGTCCTTGGAACCATTTATTGCTGCCAGGAAGTTGTGCCCTCAAACTCCTTTAATTCTCCACAAAATGTGTCCTTGGACACCTTTACTGCCACCAGCAAAGTGTGTCCTCAAACCCTTTTAATGCCACCAATAAAGTGTCCTCAAACCCTTTTAATGCCACCAGAAAAGTGTCCTTGGATGTCTTTAATGTCACAAATTGTGTGTCCTTGGACCCCATTAGCAAAGTGTGTCCTTGAACCCTTTTAATGCCACCAGCACTGTGTCCTCAGACCCCATTAATGCCACCAGCAAAGTGTCCTTGGACCCCTTTACTGCCACCAGCAGTGTGCCCTCAAACCCTTTTAATGCCACCAACAAAGTGTCCTCAGACCTCATCAGTCTCATCAGCAAAGCATCCTTGGAGCTGTTAATGCCACCCAAAGTGTGTCCTTGTCCCCTGAATGCCACCAGCAAAGTGTCCTTGGAAATGTTAATGCCACCCAAAGTGTGTCCTCAAACCTGTTTAATGTCACCAGAAAAGTGTCCTCAGTAAAGTGCCACCCTTTAATGTCACAAATTGTGTGTCCTTGGACCCCATTAGCAACGTGTGTCCTTGGACCCCTGAATGCCAACAACAAAATGTCCTTGGACCTCTTCAAAGCCACCAGCAAAGTGTCCTTGGAGCTGTTAATGCCACCCAAAGTGTGTCGTTGTCCCCCAAATGCCACCAGCAAAGTGTGCTTGGAGCATGTAATGCCACCCAAAATGTGTCCTTGTCCCTGAATGCCACCAGCAAAGTGGCACTCAGGGGACAAGGAGCTCTTCCTTGGAGCTGTTAATGCCACCCAAAGTGTGTCCTTGTGCCCTGAATGCCACCAATTTAAAANCCAGGTCTGCGGGGGGGATCCAGGCGGGCAGCGAGCTCCCCGACACCCACTTGGTCCACTCGAACAGGCCGGGCTCCACCCGGATCTTCAGGCTGTTCTCCTGCTGCATGCCTGCAGAACCGGACAGGGGGCAGTGGGGAGGAACAGAGAAGCTTTAATGCTTCCGGTATTTATTCATTAAAAAATAAATGTAATTTGAGTTATTATTAAAGAAATAAAATTAATTAAATGTATGTCATGTATATGTTTCACTCAAACAAGCCGGGCTCTACCCAGATTTTCAAGGTATTCTCCTGTTGCATACCTGGAAAACAGGGAGATGAGGCCACGTAGCAGAGAGAAAGAAGAGAGAAGATTTAATGCTTCAGGTATCTGTTAATTTATTGGTTTTCTATGGAAAATTAAGTATTACTATTCCTATTTTCCTATTGTTAAGTATTGCTTATTCCTGTTCTCTATAGGAAATTAAGTATTAAAATAAATTAAATTATTTAATGTATGCCCTACAATTGATTTGTAAATAATTACATAATTATTAAAACAATAATATATTAATTATAAAAATTGAAAATAATTCATTTAACGCGTTCCCTACAACACATACATTGTATACAATGTATTGTAAATAATTATTAAAACAAAAATATATTAATTATAAAAATAAAAAAAAATTAATTTAATGCATTCCCTACAACACATACATTGTGTACAATGTACTGTAAATAATTATTAAAACAAAAATATATTAATTATAAAAATAAAAAATAATTAATTTAATGCATTCCCTACAATACATACATTGTATACAATTTATTGTAGGGAATGTCAAGCTCTGGCTGGCAGCTGGTGCAATTAGAAAAGGGCTCCTTATGGATTGTGCTGATATAAAATATATTGCTATGGAAATNCTGCCCCAGCTGAAATCCCAGCTGCTGCTGATGCCTTAACTTTGAGTATAATTATATTATATTGTATTGTATTGTATTGTATTGTATTGTATTGTATTGCATTGCATTGCATTGCATTGCATTGCATTGCATTATATTACATTACATTATATTATATTATATTATATTATATTATATTACATTACATTACATTACATTATATTATATTATATATTATATTACATTACATTACATTACATTACATTACATTACATTACATTACATTACATTACATTATATTATATATTTATATTATAAGTTTCTATTTTCCAGATTCTGGAAAAATATAAAACCCACACATTTTCTGGATTCTGCCTTAGTGTGTGACTCTGAACTTCATACAAAGTGTCAGCTCAAGTTCTCCTCACAGCCTGTGAACAGTCCTTGAACAATCCTTGAACAATTCTTGGACAATCCTTGTCCAGCCCCAAAACCAAGGACACCGCTGCAGCTTCAGCCCCAAAAATTGCAAGTAACAGGGAATGGAGCAACAAACAACAGAAAATTGAACAACAGAGAGCAAACTGGGAGGGTGGGACTGTAGAACCTGGAGCTGGAATTGGACAATTAACCCCAATATGGAAATGGACCAAAACTTCTAAAATTGTGACAACTCATGACTTGGGGTCTATCTTGGGTGTAGCCTTGGCCAGGCTCTTGTACTACCCAAGGTGTATCTTTAAAACCCTTTTAATAAATCCCTATTTTATTCTTTAACTCTGCCCAACCTTCATTCCAGGGAGCTTCCCAAGCCATCCCTGTGCCCATTTTGCAGCCATGGAAAGGAGAGGAGCAGCCTGACCTACCCATGGAACACCCAGGTGCCACATTCATCCGCCTTGGTGATGTAGTTCTCAGGCAGCAGCCCCGAGCAGCCAGTGGCCAGGGAAATGCCATAAATCCAGCCCTCGCTCGTGCTGCTCTGCTCCACTGGGGACATGAAAATGAAATCCCCTGGCACCAGCTCCAGCTCGTCGTCGTTCTGGGGGGTGTAGGGGTAGATCACTTGCAGAGTCTGGCGGAGAAAAAGCACAAAATGTTGTTAATGTCGCATCAAACGGGCTCCCAGCTGGGTAATAATTAGCACAGACTCCAATAAATAATAATCTTTATTAACAAACCCATTGCTCTTTTATATATATTTATATATATATTTGCACCTCAACTGGTGCCATGATTTAGTCGAGGTGTTGGAACGTGGGTTGGACTCGATGACCTTAAAGGTCTCTTCCAACCTAGAAATTCTGTGATTCTGTGATATTCTAGTTTGCTACATGCGGAATTGATTGGTAAATAAATTGATAAAACACCATCACCATTGGCTAATTAAGAAACCACCCTTTGGTGAACAAATCTCCATACCATCAGCTGGGTAATAATTAGCATATACTCCAATGAAAATTAATCTTTATTAAGAAACTCATTGCTCTTTTTTTATATTCTGGTTTGCTACAGGTAGAATCGATTGGTGCTTTAGTTAAAACACCATCACCACTGGCTAATTAAGAAACCAAATGATTTGGTGAACAAATTCCCATAACACACTCCATGCGTGCACAACACCAGGTGCAGCAAGTGGAGATAAGAATTGTTTTTCATTCTTTTCTCTGATCTTCTCACAGCCTTTCCCAGGATGAAACCTGGAAAAGTTGTGTAAAGCTGCTGCAATGCCACTCTTCAACAGAGGGGCAATTTTTTGGGGTGATGATTCATTAAAATATGGATATTGATCTAGTACCGATATCCAACTGTGACGGACAAAAACCCTCTAACAGTTTAAAGTTAGAAAGTGTGTGTTTATTGTGGGATAGCTCCCAAATACACACCACAATTTACAGGTGATTACAGAGCCCTTTTATCCATACAGGTATTGAATACCCAAAATACAAATGCATATTCATAACTTTGGTACATCCCATTCCCTGCTTCCTATGGTAATTAGTTCAAAAGCTATTAAGCATTCGTAGTTTGTTCCTCAAAATGGGTCAGTGGTCCCTTTCATGGGGAGGGGTCCCAAAATGAGGAAGT